GACTCGGAGCGCAGATGCTGACGCAGGAGCAGGCGAAGCGGCCGCCCTGCAGCAGGTAAAGGTGCGCCCGGCGGCGGGCAGAATGGGAGGCGCACAGCCAGCACGGTACTTGGGCCTGAGCTCACTGCGTCGGAGTGGAAGCTGTTCGCGCATGCATTTTCCACGTGGAGAAACTGAGGCACACAGCGGCCACAGCCACGCCGGAGGCCGCAGAGCTCCGCGCCGCAGGGGGGGTGGGTGGGGCGGGGCAGGGGCTTGTTACGCAGCGGGCGCGAGAGCCGCAGCGTGGCCGCGCAGGGCATCTGCTCTGGCCAGACCTCGGCCTGGGCCTGTGGAAAGAGGATCTGGGCGCTCGCTCCTTTGGAGATGGTCAGGAAGGGGTGACAGTGGTGACCTTTTCGAAGGCCAGATCAGTTTTGTGGGGACGGTGAGCTTCCTTAGCTTGTCTGAGAGGCAGTAGGGATCATTTGAGAGGTTGTGGAAAGACCAAATAGGTAAATAAGCTGCATGTCAACGCCACGGAGTGGCAGAGTGGGTAGTGCCCTGCTGTGTGTCTGCGTGTGTGTGTGTGTGTGTGTGTGTGTGTGTGTGTAGTATCCTTGGGCGGATGCTGTCCCTGCCCAATCTTGGAGTCTGTTACCCCTGAGGAGGGCAGATCTAATGTGGCCTGACTTTTTAAGAGAAATCAGGAATCCGCACTGTATTTGAAGTCTTAATTTAAGTAGTGGCAGTTAATTAACACACACACACATTTTGCAGATCCTGCAGTGTTTGTTGGCAGCACCCACCTGTGACCTTTGCACTAGGACATTGAGAAGTAGGGAGATAAAGTTCACAAAAGTCAGAGTGTAGCTTGAGTTGTGTAAATTCCCCCGGAGAGCTGCGGATGAGTGGATATCTCAGACCAGCTTATCTCATTTGCTGATTTCACGGTGCTGGGCCTTTATATCTTATCTAATGTTTCTTTAAAAGACCAGGGTGTGGCCGGGTGTGGTGGCACATGCCTGTGATCCTGGTATTCAGGAGGCTGAGCCTTGCCAACCAGGGATGGCAGGGTGGGCCAAGGAAGGCAGGGCGCAGGGTCCTCAGGCTTCTGGTAGTGAGGTCCCCTGTAGTCTTCAGGGGATCCTTCCTGAGACCTGGGCTGTGCCTCCCTCTCTCTTGCACAACTCACACTGAAATCTTGAGTCTAAACCAGAGCTAAGCTAGGTGATTGGATATTTTACAACAGGATTTTTAGCTTTTTGAAGGGCTTTACCATAAAATTAATTCCTTAGGTGATCTCAGTATGCACATGAAATAAACTTCCTTTTGTTTGTTCCTGTAGCTTCTCAGGGTCATGCCCTCCATCTCCTCATTTTTGGGTGGCTTCTGCCATGTTTTTTGTTTTGATTTTGTG